CTGCATGTGCTTGGTTTTTTTTCCTCGACTTTTTACTGTCCTATAATCAGATCGTGACCTCGATTATGACACCAGCTCTTGGCCACGAAAGGCTAACAAAAACAGCCAAATGTGAAATTTAAAAAATGATAATTGTCATGTTCTACCAAAGAGTTAGACTCTCTGGTAGGTCTATAACATATAGATCTAGTACTGACATCTCTGCTTCTTTGCTTTGTGTTTATGTATTCACATCTAAAGTTTATTTAATTTTAGTTGGAACTGATATTTAATAAGATACTTTCCCAATTATTTTGGCGGTTGAACATACAATAAGAATTCCGGATTTGTTTTCATTCACAACTCTGAGTCGCCGCCTCGAGTAAGATTCTTCTGTGATATCTACAGGCCATATAGATCTATATCTGGTCCCGTTTCACTTTGATTACCCTGTCAAACAAGTCAGCCTTCGCCCCTGGTTGCTGTCACATCTATGTAACCGTTTCCTTTCTGCCAAAGTAACGGCTGAAAGCAGCAGAGGAGTGCATGGAAATGTTTCTTTCACCACTTTGAGGTGCAGAGTAGTAAGTTCAGGATTTACATCAATAATTTTTTATTGAGGACAGAATCTGCGAAACAGCGTCACTAGACAGGGCGAAACGTTAGGGGTGCATCAGAACCTCCAGGTCTTTTATTACGACAACACGTGCCCACGCACTGTTTTTGAAACAAACAGTGCAGTTCCTGGATGCTCGTAATAATAATATGAATGTCATGAATGTCATGGAATGACCCGTGTTCTTTCCAGAAATGTCTCCAACAGAACACACCAGGGATGACCGGAACTGGTCAGAGGCTTTTTTTACGAATTCAATCTGCAGTAACTTGGGGTCCGCTGACGCAAATTAGGGACGCAGTTCCTCAAAAAAACATTGAAAATGTTATATGATTCATATTAAGACATGTCTTTCTCTGTATACATGTGCATAAGTAGGTGTAGGGGTTACAAAAAATAAGAGATTTTTAAATTACGTTTCCATTTGTGCTTAGCTGCACATTTGTCATAGGAGGCACTCCAAAATGATGAAAACCATGAATCGAAATCAGTTATAATATGTTCTCAAAATGGTTCACATTCGTTTGGAAATAAATAAACTTCAATGAACGTCCCTTTTTTAATCCTACCTCATTTCATAAAAACCGGTACAGACTCTGCAAATTGAGTGTCAGAATATTATTATATTCATTTATTATGAAAATTGTGGATATCTACACAGGCCCCGTCCATTAACAGACATGCACAATAACATTAAAACCTATATATATATATATATATATATATATATATATATATATATATAAATGTATATATATACATAT